ATTGCCCTCGAAGCTCGAGTGTGGAAAACTGGAGAATTGTCCTTCGGTAGGAATTGGTCCCTTCAAGTGATTGTATGCCACACTAAATTTTGAAAGGAAAGTGAGCTTCTCAAATGAAAGTGGAATTGACCCATGGAGATTATTGTATGATAGATCTATGACTTCCAAGTTCTCCATGTTGGAGATGGAGCCAGGGATTATACCAGTGATGTTGTTCCTGCTCAAATCTAACACATGGAGCTGCTTCAATTGTCCAATCTCTGGCAAGATTGTCCCATTTATTCTATTATTGCTCAACAATAATGATGGGGGAAAACTCGATGCTTGGTTGTACGGGAGACCAGTAGCACTTCGATTCCGCTTTACATAAAGAGGAATGCCAGTAGAAGCAATTACTTTAGACGAACTGCAATTTGTAGATACCAAGCTCTTCAACTCTGTCAAACTTCTTGGGATTTCTCCACTGAGAGAGTTATTTGAGAAGTCCAAGTAAAACAAATTCTCCATCTGACCAATCCAAGGAGGAATAGTTCCGTCCAAGAAATTCCATGATAAATCAAGAACCTGTAACTTCTTGCAACTCAACAACCACACTGGAACTTGACCTTTAAGACCACAATTTCCGAGTCCCAAGACAGTTAGGCTCTCAAACCCACTAACATCTTTTGGAATTTGCTCACCAATGAAATTCTTTGAGAGAATAAGAGTAGTGAGATTTTTGCACTGTTGCAGCACAGTCAGTGCTCCAGATAAGTCGACGAAACTATTGTTTGACAAGGAGAGAAACGAAAGGGACTTGAGATTCATAAAACTCTTGGGGATTTTACCCTTCAAGTCATTCTTGGCCAAGCTCAGAACTTTTAGGTCATGACAATTGGATAGGGAATCTGGGAGAATCCCAGAAAAATGGTTAGTGGCAAGATCAAGTGCGCAGAGATTAGGCAATCCAGTGAAGTTAAGATTGATATACCCAGTTAAAGAATTGTTTCGAAGATCAAGTACATGAAGCTTTGAGCAAAGTGCCAAGGTTGAATGTAATGGCCCAGAAAATTTATTCGAGTGAGCAACCAACTGTTCCAATTGTGTAAGATTACCAAACACATCGAGAAGATAACCCGATAATCGGTTTTCACACGTAAGCAACGACTTAAAGCTATAGAACTTACTCAACTTGTGGCTCAAATGACCAGACTAGTGATTACCATAGAGTGAAAGTCGCTCCAAGCCGGACATTGAATAC